CAAGGGCAAGCTGCACTTTCCTCCTCTGCCATCTCCAGCCAGGACAGCACTGAGTCATTTCTCTGCTGCTAAACTCCTGTAGATCGTGGAGCAGAATTCTGAAAAAATCTAAAATTATGAAGGAGCCAACATCCCAGTGCCTTTCCTAACGTTTGAGATGTTAAAATGTCATTAACAGGAGTTCTGTGCACAGGGAGAATTATACAATTGGGCTCACAGATGAAATATCATTCCTGCCTCCACCCAAATAATCACAACGCCCACAGCTCTACTCAAAACTAGAAAATCAAGCTCACCTCAGCTCCTGTCTCCAGTAAAAGCCCTAATAAACTATGCAACATCAAGTGGTAGCATTTGTGTCCCAGCCAGCAGTAAACACCCCAGACAGTCCTCTCTTCTGCCAGCCTCAAGAACAGCAAAATAAAACATGAATTTATGCACAGACTCTGTCAAGTGCTAATTTCCAAACAACGATGAAAAGCCCCACTCCAAGACTATTATTCTTTTTAATCCTTAGATGTCGTGTTGAAGCCCATTTTCCATAAATACTGGATTTTACAAACTCTATTAATTAAAAAAACCCCATGATAATGACATTTAACTAGTCAGTGACACTAAGGTGACGTTTTGTGCAGTTCTTACCCTGCTGGAAGAAATAAAACCCTTTTTCCCCACCACACAGCCAAAGAATTCCCAACTACTACAGGGATTTCCAAAGAGCCAAAGACAGGGAAAGTGCATCTGAAGCAGATAAGAAACAATTAGAGTCTATTTTAATACCAAGTCAGGAGCAAATCACCAATTAAAACTTCTCAAGGGTAATTATGTGTAAATTCTACCTCTGCTGTTTTCCAATCATAGCAACAGAAACTACAGCATGGTTATAAATAAAACTCATTTGCAAGCAACTGCAGAGAAGAGTCACCAGTTCCTCAGCGAGGTCCTGCGAAAGCAAGAGCCTCCTTTCTTTTATTGGCCTTTAATAAACAGAAAGGAACATAAAGCAAGTCCTGCAGCCGTGCAATTGCTCAACCCCTGAAGTGTGTTTGGAACGGTGACAGGAAGAAAAATACAGTTAACTCCGAGAGTGAAAAAAAATTAATGGCACACAAATGTTTCTTTAGTGTCATAACAGGATACAGCCGAGCTCGGGCCGGCCTTTGGTGGCCAAGCAGAGGCTGGAAATGGCCGAATTTTGGAATTTCAGGCCGGCCCCAGCGTGGCCTTGGGAAGAATAAAGCCCTTATCTCAGGCAGCCATGTGTGGCCGGCCATGCAGAGCACACAGCAACGCCCAGAGCTGGCCAGTGTCCGGCCAGGAGAGCAGGGAACACTGCAGCAGGAACAGGAAAACTCCTCCAGCAAAGCCTGCCAGCCCTCCGAGTCTGCTATCCCCCCTGCCCAGCGACAAAAACCCAACCCAGCACCACTCTCTAGCCAAAAATTTTTTATTTTTTTTTTTCAGGCTAAAAGATATGGGAAATCTCCCCTAAAAGCAGACCTGAATGAAGCTCGGTCACCTGACTGATTTTAGATATCTTTAGGATAAGAAAGGTCCCCTGGATGTGCAGATTTCCTTCCACCAACGAGCAAGTCGAGCCAGATGAGCAGCTCAGGGATGTCTACCTCAAAGAATTACTAAGCTCAGCAAGAGAAATGCCACCTTAGGAGGCCTCTGAACAAATACAGCATCGCTAAGAGAGGATTAAATTAAGAGGGTGTAAATGTTTACAAACATAAAGGAGCAGAGCAATAAGGCTGGAGATGAAGAGTTTGATACGGCCCAATGGGCACCAGGACTATGGAAAAAAAAAAAGCAGCTGACAAAGTAAAAGAACATCCTGAGGGAAAGAAGGGGAAGTTAAATCAGTGTTTAACTCTCTCAACACATCAGCAGCCACACAAGGCACCTCGGCTATCCTGGAGAACGTTGAGCTGATGTGTTTTTAAGGCTCAAAAGCTGTGTCAGGAGATAATTTTTTGTCTGCCTGCACCCTTTAGGTGCTCCCCCAAACGCTGATGTGTGTGTCAGGAGCTCCTCCAACTCCGAAGAGCCATTACACTCTCAGGAGTCTCCACATCTGCTCAGCCTTTTTTGTTTAATGCCTGGTATTCCCCCACTCCCCCAGGCACTCACTTCCCTCCAGACCGAAGGCACTTGAAGAAAAAGACACCAGAAAACGATGCTGCTTTGGGAGTCCTGATAACAGAATCTGAGCATAACCACTACCAAAATTAACTGGGGTAAGGTTTAGTCCACAGAGAGAATGAGCCCAGACACATCCAGATATGAACTGGCCTGTGTTCAGCAGGGCCAGACACTAAAATCCATTCAACTTTCCTGGGAAAGAGAACAAAAATAAAAGAAGAAAAAGAAAAAAAAAAAAGAAGGAGAGGGGAGTTAATAAAATCATCATTTATCATCCTGGCTCCAGACAGGACTAGAAATTGCCATTCACACATTCCTAATTTACATATTTAATGGTAATCAAGACATCATCAACAAAATCAAGAGATATAAAATAGGTCAAGGATGAGACAAGTGCAACTTGGGCAAGGGAAATGTGACAGCTGTCAAATCATTACCTCCTTAAACTGAAGGGATACCAAAGGAAATATCTGCTGAGTGTAATGTGGATTTAGGCAGATCTATATATGCAAAATGCAAATATGTAAAGCTAATATGGAGAAAAATCCAGGCCCAAGCTACCCTATTATATTCCTAATACCATCTGGCACAGATGCAAGCTGGGTTTTCCTGGTTTAAGGCAATTCCCATCTCAGTCCCACCAAGGAAGGTGATTGACAAACACAAAGAGAATTGAACATGTCAGATGATTTATGCCACGAAAATCTAATGACAGTGGAAGCATCAACATTTATACTGCACCTGCTCTACATTCCAAGCTTAAGAAGCAAACTGAAAGAGGCAACAGAGACTCCCAGGGCCTGAAGGGAAAGGGAATTGTTCTGCAGGGACAAGAGTGATCAAAAACCATCCCCTCCAAACCCTGCACAACGCTGGGGATGGAGAGGAATGGCAGAGATGGGAACAAACACCACTGCCATGTCTGGGCTTCTGCTGAAAGGGAATAAACCAGAGAATCATCAGAGAATCCCAGAACGGTTTGGGTTGAGAGGGACCTTAAATCCCATCTCATTCCCATGGGCAGGGTCACCTTCCACCATCCCAGGCTGCTCCAGCCTGGCCTTGGACATTTCCAGGGATGGGGCAGCCACAGCTGCTCTGGGCACCCTGTGCCACCCTCCCAGGGAACAATTTTCCCCTAATAACCAACCTAACCCAACTGTGAGTTTGAAACCATTCCCCCTTGTCCTGTTACTCCAGGCCTTTTCAAATAATCTCTCTCCACCTTCCTTGTAGGCTCCTCCAGGTCCTGGCAGGACACAACTGGGTCACCCCAAAGCTTCTCTTCTCCTGGCTGAAGCACGACTTTGTACCTCAGAGCTTCAGGCCACAGGTGGAAAACAGTGACAAGAAGAGATCCAGTTTCCCCACATTCCCCCAGAAATCCGAGGGTTGTGGAGACAGCTCCTCACCTGACATTAAAAGCCTTTTGATCCAAAACCTTAATGGAACACCAAACAGAAACATCCTCCTGACATTACTGAGAGCAAAAGGAAATGAGACATTTTTTATTTGGCTGCTCCAATTCAATAATGGAAAGTATTTTGTTTTACTAACAAGTAAATTAAATTCCCTGTTCTCGTGCTTTTCATTTCCATGCATCACTCAGCTGCTTCTTGGTATGAAAATCCTGTCGTTCTTTTTGATATCATGCAACTGCCACAAGACATATGGCCCGAAGTACACAACAAAATCCTCACAAATCCACTGAAATGCCTTTTTACTGTCATTGCCTTGCCTGGCACAGAGCAAAACATCCTGCAACTCCAGAATCATTCATGCACTGCAAAAGAGAAAATTCTTCTAGTACAAACTACTGAATTAATTGCCAAGATTTAATACTCTGTGAACAGTTGTAAACACAGATCGTACACAAGTCTGAGCTCTCCCAGAGCCCTTTGCACTGTGCTGCCTGTGAGGACCTGTGGAGTCACCAAAAGGTTTCAGTCAGGCTCAGTCTCTTTCCTGCCCACACCTGGAGCCTAAAATTGGTGAGCTCAGGCACCCCAAAGCATCATTGCTCCATCCCAGCCCCAGCTCTGCTGCTGTGCCAGAACTGCTTGGTCACCAAAGGCCAAAGCCTTTGCCACACACATTCACACCTTAACCACCACAGAGACACAATAAAGATACAATAACATATAGAGCATGGTTTCCACGGCACACGGTGTTAAAAAATGTATCTTTTATTCTCATTTAAAAAAAAATTAAAATCTGGAAACACTCATTCCACTCACTTGTTAGGATGTTTCCTACTTGACTTCTTTTTTTCCTTCCTCTGAAACATCCCAGTACAAAGAAGAGAACCCCAAACCTAATGAAAGGCACCTGCAGAGCAGCCCAGAGGCCTGAGCAGGTAACCAAAGGCAGGTTCCTGCTAAGGCAGACAGCAGCAGACATTCCTGCTTGTCAACTATCCCTCCTGCCCTCACCTGGAGTGACCTCTCTGCAGTACTTGACCCAAGGAGACCCAGGTGCATCCTCAGCACAGTCTCTGAGCTCAGGCTTCAGCTGGATCCCAAATTCTGGTGGCTTCTCCAGCTTCAGCTCCTTACAGGAACTCTTGCTTTCGGTGTTCCCCGCAGCACCAGCCCATCCTGGGAGCTGAATTACCACCCCTGGCTCTACAAAGTCAGCCTGGCAGGCCTGAAAGCTGTTGGACTTGAAATACTCCGGTTTCAAAGTTAACCCAGTTGCTTTGACAGTCAAGACACCCTCGGTTCCCAGAACTTCTGATTTAATCCTGCTTTTCTGATCCCGTCTGTCACTGAAAGTACCTGAGCTCTGCGAATATTCACGCTTCAAAAGACGAAGAAAAAAAAAAAAATCAAGGAATTTCATTTTATACTGACCTGTCCGTGATTGTGGACTGTGTGCCACTCATTGGAGCCTTTGGCAAGAAGTCGTATTATCCAATTTACATTTTACTCTTATTGCAGGAATATGAACGAGGCTTTGCCCCTCACATGCACCGAGGTTCAGGATCCAGCCTTGCTCCAGAAGAGGCATGCACAGAGGACAAACTCAGTTCAAGGGCAGGAGAAGGGAACAAAAAAAAAANAAACTCAGTTCAAGGGCAGGAGAAGGGAACAAAAACAACCAAAAAAAAAACACCACCAAAAAAACCCCAACAACCAAACCCAATCCAAAACAACTCCAAAACTCTTCTTGCAGTCACCCAGAATATCCAAAACCACGGAAGTGGGGCGTGGGGGATAAAAACTCCAACAAGCAAAAACTTCCAACAACCAAAAAAAAAAAAAAAAAAAAAGAAGAAGAAGAAGAAGAAACAACAAAACAATCTCGGTGGACTCGGGAGGAGAGAAAAAAAAAAATAATCTAAGAAGCGGCCGCTGGTCGCCGGCGCGGGGCCGTGCCCGTCCCCGCCGGGCTCAGCGCTCGGGGGGCGGGCGGCGCTCCCCGCCCGCGGCCGGGCCCATCCCCGACCCCCGCCCGTGCTGCGCCCGCAGGGGGTCGGGCAGGGCGGCCGCCTCTAGGCCCGGGGCTCCATCCCCGTCCGCTCCGCCTCTGGCTCCGGCCCGGCTCCCAGCGGGGCTGTGCTCTGTGCTCTCGGCGATCCCGCTCGGCGCTGCTCTCCCGGCCCGCTGGCGGCCCCGCTGCGCTGCTCCGAGAGGCGGGAGCGGCGCCTCCGGGGGGCTCGTACCTCCGGCCGCCCCGCCCCGCCGCCGGATCCCTCCGCCGGCCGCCCTCCTCTTCCTCCTCTTCCTCCTCCCTCTCTTCTCCTCTTTCCCCTCCTTCTCCTCCTCCTCCTTCTCTTCCCCCCCTCCTCCTTCCCCCCGGTGCCTGCCGAGGCCTTTTCCCTTCGGGAAGCCTTTTCCAGAGCCGCGGGCTGTTTCCTTCCCTTCCCGTCTCCGCTCCTCCCTCACCCCGTGTCCCTGCCGAACAGCTTTCGCTGCCTCTGCGTCCCTCACCCGAGGAGGTTTCCCTTTTTCCCTTTATCCCTTTTTCCCTTTATCCCTTTTTCCCTTTATCCTTTTTTCCCTTCTCCGTTCCCCATCCCCAGCCACGCGATGCCCGACTCTGCCGTGCCACCAGCGCTCAGAGCGGGGAGCGCCCGCGCTTCCATCTCCACGGAAAACATGACACCGGCGAAACTCAGAGCAGAAAGAAAATAAATAAACAGCGAATTAAAAGAGTGGAGCTGTGCAGCAGGAGCCTCAGGCAGTGCCCGGCTGTGCTGTTTGCTCCCAGGCCTTTCGTGGCTCCCTTGTCCAGTTCCCTGCATTTCCCACGCACGTTCCAGCAGGAATTTTTCTCACTGGTTAAGGTCAACATAAATCCAAGAGCAGATCCCTCCCCGCACGTACATTCCAGAAACGCTGCGGCCAAGGGCCTGTTCGTGCTGCCTTTCAAAACCTCCAGTACGAAAAGATGAGCCACTCAGGATATTTGGGCATTTAAATTTCAGCAGGTGTGGATTTCCCTCTCGTCAGCCTGAACACAAACACGTCCCTGCTGTAACTCCCTGCTGTTTATGCCATGTGCAGCACAGTCTGAGAAATGCCTGCACAGAATCTGCACAGAATCCCAGAATGGTTTGGGTTGGAAGGAACCTTAAAGATTATTTTTTGCCAACCTTCCACTATCCCAGCTTGCTCCAGCCTGGCCTTGGACACTTCCAGGGATCCAGAGGCAGCCACAGCTTCTCTGGGCAACCTCACCACCCTCACAAGGAATTATTTTTTCCTAATATCTCACCTAAAACTGCTCTCCGTCAGAGTGAAGCCATTCCCCCTTGTCCTGGCACTACAATCCACTTGTTCTCAAACACCTGGAAACAACATCTGTACCTGAGAACTTCAGGAAACTTCCATGCTACTCCTCCAGAAATTAAAGTTCGTGAGCAGCACGGATGTGGAATGAAAAGCAGGATGTCTCCATTGCCAGTAATTCCTGCCCCCTCTGCACAAAGGAACTTGTGGAACATCAGTCTCCCCCAACAAATGCCAGCAGACTAAAATAACCTTATTAGCTAATCCCAATCATCTAGGACACCACGCTTCTTCCCTTTAATTAATCTTGCCGGGACACACTTCAAAGCCAGGACACTGGGGTTGGGAAGAGGCTGGAGAACAGGCTCTGGAAAGTTGGGAGCAGCTCCCTGGCTGGGCACACAGGACCATCCATACCTTGCCCGAAGCTACATCCAGGCTTCTCTGGAGCACGGAGCTTTTCCTGCTCGGAGCATCAGGAAGCCAGCAGACTGTCTGAGAGCCTGGAGAATTTGTTGTTTTGATGAAGTTCAGAGCAAAGAGGGGAAGCGTGGGATGAAATCATTTTCTACATGATACTTCACATATATACGCAGGGCATTTATACTTCCTTTTTTGGTTTCCTTTTGGGGAAAATAGAGGCTTGGGAATGGAAAAAAAAAAAAAAAAGTGTGGGAGTGCAAGACAAGCAGCCACGTCTGCCTCTCCTTCTGCAGCTGTGTGCAATACAGTCATCAGTGGTGATGAAGTGACTGAATGCCTCCATATATCTATATTTATTTATTATATATCACTTTATTGCATCTTCTCTGCAATAAATCCCTCCCTGCTTTTAACTTTGGGAACATCGAGTACTGTGCCTGGAGAGGGGAAGGCTCCTGGGAGATCTGATTCATGGCAGGCCCAGCATTTGAATATTGGGCCTCGATGCTTTTTTATTACTTTAATTATATTTTATTGTGCATGACAACATAACGAGAACAATTAGCTGGAGGAAATCCTAAGACATAGATTCTGAAACTGTAACTGCTTCTCTTTTCTGTAAATGCTCGTTTGTTTTTTTTTTGGTGAGAGCTGGCTGCATGCTTAGATAAAGATAGATGCCTATTTATGATAATTCTGTTTTACAGCCTGAAATATGGGGTGGGAAAATCAATAAGCAATTACACTGTGCCCATTAAAATAGATTTTTTTTTTTGGTAGCTCTGAAGTTGTCACTTGGCCTGAATTTACACACAGAACCATCCCATGCCACGAGGGCTGGAGCAAGATCATCTTTGAGGTCCCTTCTATCAGGGAAAGATTTAAAACATCTCAAAGTATTCATGTAATAGCTCTTTTTTTTTTTTTTTTAGTCTAGAGCAAAGCTAAGCAGGACCCTGAAGTGGAGGAGTTGAATTCCTATGGACTAAAACTTCTTATTTTGCCTTAAAATAAAGGTCAGATCCTGAGAGGTGCTTTATAGGGGCTGATGTAAAAGCAGATTTCTAGAGAAAGTGTTGAGCGAGGATTCTTTGGCCAAAACCGTCCCTTTCCCAGCCTCGCACCGAGGAGCTGTTGCCATCTGCTGGGAAAGCCTCGAATGGCTCCTCTAACCTGAGCTCCCGGGCAGGTAAAAGGTGAGGAATTTGGAAAAAAAAGCAACATTTCCAAGTGCTTTGGGATCCTGGAGCTCTGCAATGTTCCGAGGGGGTTTGCACCGCTGTGAGCTCAGCATAAACAGAGAGAAAAATCAGCAAAAAGTGACGCTTTTACATTTTAAGTGTGGATAAATACTGCCTGGAAGTATTTTTCTTTCTAAAAAAAATCAGTTTGTGTTTCAGATGGGATGATCAGCTGAGTTTTGCTGAGCTCCACCACAAAAATCAAGTAAAGACTCTTTTACTACTTACAAGTAATCAATTTAAAGCCAGTGAGAGAATACTCAGGTATTTTGAACTGTTGTTTACACTCACCACAAATTGCTCAGCCAGCTCCTGTTTTTCTGCTGCTCTTGGAAGCCAACTGCCAAACCTTTACACCTTGGAGGGGAAAAACACAGGGGAAATTATTCCCAAATTCACTTCCCAAATGTGCCTAGAAATCTGTGACTCCTAAAGAACAGAATCCCAGAAAACACAAATAAATCTGTGATTTCTGTGCAATTTCCAAGCCTTTTTTCATTTCCCACCTCAAAATGGGCACCAGATTCACTCCCTACAGCTTGTCCTGCACTCTGGAAACGCTGGAAATGCACCCAGAGTTGGTTTTGGGACACGATGCTTTGCTGATTATGAGACACAGAGAGCCTAATCTAGCAGAGCTTCTACACTGACAGCTTATTACAGTTCCTAAATCTGGATAATCCACGGGGCAGTCAGCATTTTTATAGCACTAAGCTTTCCTTCCATATCAGCACAATGAAAGCAGCAACCTTTGTAAGGACAGATGAAACTGCTGGACATTTTGGCCTGAGTTTCCTTCTCTTTCTCCATCCTCTGGCTGGAGGAGGGATTAAAAAAAAAAAGGTAAAATCTAAAAAAATTGAGAATATAATTTGTCTTCACGTTTGAGGATTGTGGCACTGGACAGATCTCAATTTTGTGACACAAGACACATTTCAAACAGCACAACACGAGCACTGGGGAAACTGTTTTGTAACAACTGAGAAGCTGGGACTTTCTTCTTCCCATACAAAATTACCTACCTGCAGATCTTTATTACTTTACAGAAACTTCTCCATGTGCCTTGATCTGTTATATTCCTTCTTTTAGTAATTTTCTAAGGTAATTTTACGTTGTCAACTTATCAGCTGCCAAACTGCCCCTGGAACTTGAGGCAAGCAGGGCATTGATTTCTTTGGACATGGCAGACCCCGTGGTATTAATGTAATGGCAGATTTCAAAGATTTCAAATGCTGCTTTTACATCAGTGCCTGGACTACTGCTGCAAGAGAATAAAGCCTTGAATATCAAAAAATGGCAATTTTTTTCAAGTACAAATAAGGAGTTCAGCTACAAAGAGAGGGCACGGGACTGAAAGGGGAGGTTAATTTTATAAAGCTCGACTGCAGGGCCAGCTGGAGAAGCAAAAGGCAGGCAGCAGGGTTGGCTGTAAAGAAATAATAGGATGATAAAAAATGAAATTAATTGGGTGTAGAGGGGCAGATTTCACTTTTCACAAAGCACATCTGACCACTGACAAGGCCAGATTTTGTCACTTCTGAAGACACGAGACCTGTGAGACACCTGCAGCTCTAAAGCAAAGCTTCAGAACTCGGCTGTACTTTCTCCTCTGCTTCTGGAACTACCTCAGGGGTTCAACAAAGTGCCAGCAGAAATTCCTGCAGGCCTTGAGACCCCTCCACTCCCAGGCTGGGCTCTGTAAACAGGAAAACATCTCCAGAGGGCTCAGTGCTGCTCAGCAGCTGCTCCCCAGCGTTGGAGGGTTTTAAGCTGGACTTAAGGGTTACATGCAAACAACTAAATTGGCTTAACTATTTATAGGAGCCAAGACTTTTGGCATCCTGGATCTCTGGCTGTGGCCATCAGCAAGCAGAGTGGCTGTTTACTAACACAACTCCACAGGGCTTTCCTTGGCAATAATATTAATTTATTGATATTGAAATCATTTAAATATTAATTTATGATCGAGAAGAGCTCACGGTGTGGAAACCAGAAGAACTTTCTCCCATGGCATCCAGGGCATGGAAAATAAAGGGAACATTTTTGTTCCATCCTGTTGAATCACTGAATCTTTGAGGTTGGAGAAGCCTTCCAAAACCATCAAGTGGAACCTGTGACTTAAGAGCAGCACCCAAAGAGAGAAAATCAATTCCTCATTTAATTAAAAAAACTAATTCCCCATGTAATTAAATAATCTTTATTTTTATAAAACGTAATACAAAGCATCTACACCATTCACTGGTGGAACATTAGTTGCTATTACACAGTAATTCAGACACAAGTTATTATTTCACACTAGTTCTGCAGTTTCCTCTCACAGTTTGCTCTAGCCACTATGGACTAGCCTGAGGACAGGTCCCACCCCGTGCTCCACTGCTTGGAATTTGTACTTTTGGGTCTGTGATTCTATGCTGGAGCCCACTAAATGGGCTGTGAGGCCTTGCTCTGCCTCATAAAGCCATTCTTAATTGCCCTTTTGTTTTCTTTTTTGCCTTCTAAAGCCTCAGAGCTGAGCAACCAAATTTCCCCCCCTTTCAGACAAGAGGACCACTCAACAATTGTATTTCAAAATATCTTTAAACAGGTGATTCACAGACACTGCAGTCACTGCCATCCTCATCCACCTGGGCAGGTAAGGGCTGTAACCCCACAAAGCTGCACCCCAACCCTCAGCAAAGGTCAGAGCCCCAAACCAGCAGGGCTGCTCTTGGTTTTCAGCACCTCACCAGGAGTGACCAGCCTGTTTCCACCTCCAGGACCTGTCTCCACCATTTTTCCAGGAGCTGCTGCTGAAATCCCAAACACTTTTGGCTCCAGATTCCTGCAATCCTGACCAGGGCAAACCCAGCAGAAACCTTTTCCTCAGCATGGGGGTCCCTGTGAAGGTGCAGCAGCACAGCTGACCTTTATGTGCACGTCCAGCTGAGTCCCTGTGACTCCTGCCCTTGAACAAAACATCTCCCCCTGCTTTTGGGATGCTGGCAAGTGCCCAGTTCAGGTGACAAAGCGCTGCTGATGGCTCACGTGCTTCACTCAAAGCCACTTTTATACAGCACAGCACGACACAAACCACCGAGAATTCATCACAGGTGGCTTGGTGCTAAATGCAAACACCCTACGAGGTAGGTGAGACTGGACCCACTTCCCAAAGTGGGTTAAACTGAGGCAAAAAAGGCTCCTGGATGTGCTCAACAGAGCAGCAGAGCTGGGGAAAAAAAAAAAAAAACAGCAAGCCCCAACCAGCCCTTCTGGTCTCCTTTCAAGGCTTGAATGAGTCAAGTTTCCTTTCCAGGACCAGCTCATCAGTTGGCTCTGCTCATCTGAAGGGGATTTTTTGGGGGGTTCTTTAGGTCTTTGGCTGCAGCAGGCAAGGCTCAAGCAAAAGGGCTGAGCTGCACTGGAGGCTCAAAGGAGAAGCTCAAAATCACAGCAAGAGCAAAGGAACAGCTTAAGAACATGCAATGAAATAAACTCCAGAAGCTGCCAACTGGGCATGGTTTTTCCCTGCAAATTGGACCAGATAAGTAATGCTTATTTTTCTCCCAGTCAGGGTTTTTTTTTGCTTTTTTGCCTCTCACTTCTTTCATTACTAAGCTGTAAAATAAATCTCTCTGACCCTCTAGATGTTCGCTTTTGTAAAGTGACTCAGACCCACTCAGAGAGAAATCAAAGCCCAGGGGTCAAGGCATTAATTCAGATGAAGGAGAGCCAAGGTCAGTCTGTGGCTTCCACAGGGCAGATTCTGGGCAACCAGAAATTCCAATTTGGATTTGGGGCACAGCAGAGGAAATTTTGGTGTTCTGGAGACAAAACCAGGGCTTGGCTCATCAGCAAGAAAACCCCTGACTGGCAAATCCTGATGGGGTTTCTCAAAATGGAGTGTGCTGGTTACTCAAGGAGCTAAAAGCAGTGTTTGTAGGGGAGTTTTAACAGTCAGGAAAGAAGAGGGAAAAATCAAGAAAAAATTTTCCCTTCTGGGTCTGTGTCTTTGGGTGTATTCACAGAGCACCTAATCCTGTATGGCGCCAGTGCTGACTAGAGCTTCTGGACACTACAGAAAATAAGTTACCAATATGTTAAATAAGTTATTAAAAGGAGTTAGAGTAGGAAACAACTACCTACCTAAAATACTGATTATTCTAGAGTCTCGCTCTAGCTCGACCACCAAGTTGTTTCTCCCAAGGGAAACAAAGGGATAATGAACCAAGTGCAGATAACAACCATCACTTTGCAGTTATATAGCACCTCTCAAGTAAAAATCTGAAAGTGCATAACAGATGGAGCAGCTCCATCACCCCCAAGTCACAGAGGGGGAATTAGGCACAGAGTTAGAGTTGTGTGACTTGCCCAAGGTCACACAACGAGGTGGTGGAAGAGCCAGGAACCCCAGCTTGGATGCAACACTAGAACATTTCTTCCTACCAGCATGAAGAGTCACTCTAGCTGCCTAGACTGCACAGGACACTGGACATGGAGACCTAGTGTTACCTCCTCCTCTCCTCCAAGATCCTGAAGGAGTTGGTACAGACATCACTATTTACACCTGCACTGCTGGACTAGTTTAGTCTCTAAAATGAGCCCTTCTTTCACTCCTCCTTCAGGCTGTGCTCACGCACACACCGAGCCAGCCCCTGCCAGGCCCAGCGCTGCAGATCCAGTGAATCCATGGCACAGCTCCACGGATTTCAGTGGAGCTACTCCAGGGATGAATTTGGCTCCAGCTGACACGTGTTGGCTCCTCTCCCTCCAGAGCCATTTCAGGCTCCGTGCCCCTCCTTGCCAGCCGTGAGCTCCGGGAACTCTCGGCTCAGTGACCTTTGAGGTGCCCGTTGGTTTTGAAGCCCAGCTCGCGGCTCCGGCGGCTCCTCCACTCCTGGTACTTCCTCATGCTCTTCCTGCGGGCGAAGCGGCAGATGCTGACCATGAAGAGCCAGGACACCACGTACATGACGACCCCTCCCAGCTTGATGAACCAGCGCGGCCTGGGCGAGGCCAGCTCGCAGTACATCAGCCATGCCCCCACGCCGATGCGCACGCCGGTGAAGAGCACCACGAAGAGGAAATCCACCAGGTCGCCCGTGAGGGTGTGGTAGCGGCCCAGCTCCTTGAGGAACCAGCGGGCCTGCAGCAGGGGGTTGGTGATCTCGCTGCCGAAAATGACGGCGTTGACGTCGGCGGCCGACTCGCCCAGGGCCAGGGAGGCGGCGATGCCCACGATGCTCACCAGGTGATGGGCCAGCATCAGGGCACCCTCTGTCTGGAAGTACACGCACCAACACAGGTCGAAGATGAAGTAGCCCAAGCTAAGGCACAGCCCGTGCACCTGAAGGGTGGTGTTGGGTAACCCTGGAATAGAAAAGCAGAGTTTAAAAGTGGAGGTGGTAAGCAGGATGTGAGGAAGGGAAGGGCTATTCACCTCTGGCTCGCACTGGTGACAGCCCGGCCACAAAGTGCCCCCGAGTCACAATGCCACAGTTATTAGTCCGGCAGCTGCACACACGTAATGGCCACACAGAAGGTCACACGCTCTGCCAAAGGGCAGCTGGGGAGGGGCATTACAGCAGCAAAATACAGTACCAGGCTCTCCATCCCTCCGGGGCTTTCCACCCACTGCAGTCATCGTCCCTCGAGCGGGCTGGGGTGGTGCAGAACCCCTGGAGGAGGTGGGATCACAAATTTCCTCACTCACCTGGGTGACTCAGGGGCCAGGGGCCATCGATGAAGCCGATGTAAGCGGACAGGCAGGTGGCCAGGATGCCGTGGGTCAGCGTGACCAGCCTGCAGCTCCACTCGAGGTTCCGGTGCCGGTAGCGGTGGCAGAACCACTTGTAGAGGCAGAACCAGCCCAGCAGGCTGCAGGCTGCACGCAGGGGCAGCGGGAACTGCATCCTGTCCTGGGAACAGCAGCACACAAGGCATCAGAAAAACAAAGGGAGCAGGAGGTCGAGCCTGTGGCAGTGTCAGCACAACCCAGCTCGGCTTTGCTCCGTAACCATCCCAGCCCAGAGTGTGCAGAGCTGATTCCTGGTTTGGCTGCTTGCTCCTGACAGATTTTCTCTGTGTGAAAATTCTCCTCACTGCAGACTTCATTTCATTCTTACTGGCACCAAAACCCCCAAATCTTTTGGATGCCAAAGAATAAGAATCTATGTCCATAAAGATTTTTTTTTCCCCAGCAGTATTTCTATTATACATCTTCCTTCACACACTGTGCAATAATCCCTCAAGCAAGCAAAAGACAAACTGCCAGAACAAAATTACAGCACATAAACGCTTGTGGATGTTGCTAAAACCCTCAAACACACATTACTCGTTCATATAATGCCTTCCCATGAAATGTGTGTCTCACCACTCCTGAGCATTCAGGGAAGTGCAGCAAAAGAAGCTGAGTCAGGCTTTGGGATACAGGAGTTTCCAGTTGCACCACTGGTACCTGCTGCCCAACTCTGGCCTCGCTCCCAGGGCTGGGGAGCACCAGAGGGACTTCATGGGATGAGGAGTCAGAGCTGCAAAGCCCAACCTTCCTGTTTGGCCTGTTGGAACATTCCCAGCAATGACTGGAGGCTGGGTAAACAAACCCATTATGTTTTAATGGGCCTTGGGAATACGGGGAGATGAAATAGGGATGGGATTAACTGCTCTGAGCTGGCATTTCCATTCACATCCCTGGTGCTCGAGGTCCAGACTCAGAGCAGATAAAGGAGGGAGAATTCTCATGTGACAAAAGGGATGGAGCAGCTGGAGAAGGCTGGTGGGAAGAAGAGGAACGAGTTGTAAAAATACTGAGATCTTTTCCACACCTACTCATGAAAAAGATGTGTCTCCATACCCGGGGAAAAATCACAGAATATCCTGAGCTGGGACTCACAAGGACCATCCAGTGCAGCTCCTGGCCCTGCACAGACACCCCAAAATCCCTGGGAGTGGTGTCCAACCCCCCCTGGAGCTCTGGCAGCCTCGGGCTGTGCCCATTCCCTGGGGAGCCTGGGCAGTGCCCAGCACCCTCCGAGGGAGGAACCTTTCCCTGAGCTCCATCCCAAATTCCCCTGACCCAGCTCCAGCCGTTCCCTTGGGAAGAAAGGGGGGAGCTTTCTTCCAACTGCATTCCAATCAGCATTTAGTGGCTTTAAAGAAAGTAAATATGTATTAGATATTGGGAAGATTTTTTTCCCTGTGAAAGTGGGCAGGCCCTGGCACAGGGTGCCCAGAGCAGCTCTGGCTGCCCCTGGATCCCTGGAAGTGTCCAGGGCCAGGCTGGATGGAGCAGGGAGCACTCTGGAATTGTGGAAGTATCCCTGGCAGTGGCAGGGGGTGGAATGAAATGATCTTTAAGGTCCCTTCCAGCTCAAACCATCCTTTGATTTGCCTTTAGCATGTGCACACTAGAAAGGCCGATTTAAAAAGCAGCAATAAATACAGAACAATAAATAACAAATAATTCTATATAACATACATATAAACAGTAAATAAACAAATAACATATAATTATATATAAAATTACGTATTTCCTTATATATTACTTTAAATTACGGCATATATATAAGTATATATATTGTATATATTTATATATATGTATCTTTTTAATGTATTTTATATTATGTATCTATTAAGCACACTAGATATTATATTATCATTTGTATCACTAGTAGCGATGAGGCCCTGAATGAAAGCAGCCTCTACAATAAACACGCGTGCCTAAAAACCCCAACAGCCCGAACACGATTAAAAACCAGATGGGCACCTCCAGCACACACCGTTATCCACTTTTTTTTTTTTTTTTTTAATCCAGCCGGGAAGATGGAGGAGCTCCCGCACCAAAGCACGAAGCGCAGCCCCGGGCACCGCCTGCGCTCACCCTCCCCATCCTCCCGCATCCCGCCGTGCCTCCCGCATCCCTGGGGACAGCGATGGGGACAGCGATGGGGACAGGGACAGGACCCTTCCCCAGCACCCACCTGCCGGGCCGCGCTGCCGGAGCCGCCCCCGAGCACGGAGCGAGGGGCACCTGGCGGCCGGGAGGAGGGACGGCAGGGATGGGGATGAGGAGGAGGAGGAGGAGGAGGAGGAGGGACGGGAGGAGGGAATAGAGGAGGCAGGATGGCAGCGGAGGGGACCCACAGTCCCTCGCAAACCGCCCCGCTCCGCACATCCCCGCCCTCCCCACTGAGCCATGGAATGCCCGGAGCTGGGAGGAACCCACCAGGATCATGAGCCCAGCTCCTGTTCCTGCACAGACACCCCAAAACCCCAGAGTGCGCCTCAGAGCCGTGTCCCAAAGCTCCTGGAGCTCCAAAGGGATTGACCAGCTGGTCAATCCAGTCTTTTCCACACCTACTCATGAAAAAGATGTGTCTCCATACCCTGGGAAAAATCACAGAATATCCTGAGCTGGGACTCACAAGGAACATCCAGTGCAGCTCCTGGCCCTGCACAGACACCCCAGAATCCCACCCTGTGCTCCGGAGCCGTGTCCCAAAAATCCTGGAGCTCTGGCAGCCTCGGGAAGCCCAGCACCCTCTTTTCCTAACACCCAACCTAAATCTCCCCTGGCACAGCTCCAGCCCTTCCCTGGTCACAGAGCAGAGCTCAGAGCTGCCCCTGCTGACCCCAAATTGTCTCCTCCAGGTGAAACCAGCCAAGCGCTCTCAGCCGCTCCCTCCAGATCCTTCACCCCCTTCACACCAGCTCATGTCCCCGCGGGGCACACGGAGCTGTAGCCCGGGGACACAGAAATGAGTCCCACACCCACCCCGCCCGCTCCCATCACCCCGTGTGTGTCACAGAGATACACCAAGCACACCCAGCTTTTGTTCTCCTCGCCGTCGATATGAACAGACCCTTCTGCAGAGCTCCAGAGCCGTGTCAGTGCAGCAGCAGGTCCAAGGTGACATCTCCCGAGGGGTTTTGTCACCCAGAATGGAGCAGTGCAGAGGGCTGGGAGAGCTCACACTCTGCCCTGGACATCTCCTCCATCCCCTGCTAACCCAGCAATTACCAAGCCCAGCAATTTCTTCTCTCTGCAGACACTCAGCGCTGCCCATTCTCTCCCCTGCCTTCCACATCCCATACTCCGGGTTTAGCAGGACACCCAAAGCAGCTACAAAAGTTCCTCCACCTTTCCTAAGTTACAGTCAAAACAAGCTCCCACACCCAAAACTCGAGGTTGGTTTTTTTATCTTTTGAAATGCAGACAGTGGGAGTGGCTTGGCCTGCCTCTTACAGCACCCATAACAAGTGCTTTCAGCTGGGCACTCAACAAGATACAGATCTTACTTTTCCAGCAGGTTTTACTTACTTACTTACTTTTTCAGGCCAGCAAGTTCCTACTGCTACAAAATGCCCATCCTCCTTCTATTTCAGCACATCCTCAAGAGCATTATTAGTGCATTTGCTTCTCTGACGAATCTGGGCTCTCATCTTGCTTCTCTCCACCTTTGCTGGCCCCCCAGAAGCCTCAGGAACACCTGAGATGGAGCTGGTTTAATATTGAGCTTAGGATGGAGAAAAGCGTGGACAGATAGGAAATTATGGGGCCGATGCTTCCACATTTAGGAGCATGGTTAGATGGAATATTAGGAAAAAAATCTTGCCTATGAGGGTGATGAGGAGCTGGGATGGAATTCCCAGAGAAGCTGTGCCTGCCTTGGAAGTGTCAAAGGCCAGGTTGGATGGGGCTTAGAGCAACCTGGGATAGAAGCAGGGGATTTTTGGAATAAAATGAGATGATCTTTAAGGTCCCTTCCAACCCACACCATTCTGGGATTCTATGAGCAGCCAGCAAGAAAAATAGAGACGTTCACAGAAGAGCACTCAGAGTCCTAACAAGGCACAGATTATTTAATGCAGGAAGGACACAGAGAAGTTATTTTTTGTTTCTAACACAAACTTTGCACGGTGAGGTGCAAAGCAGCAAGTGAAATCATCTCCCTGTGGATTGTACCAGAAGTGAGGTGCAGCTTTACAGACCAATTTTCCTGTTTGTTTTGTGCAGAGTCAGCCATTTCAATGGGCTGTGTTGCACTGGCTCGTTTGGCCTGCAAACAGAGTTCAGCAAAACAGCTCAGGGCAGAACCTCTGCAAACAGTTGCTTGCAACCTCATTTGGTACAGCCACAGCCTCCCCCAGCTGCACATCCTCTCCTCTGCTCTCCTGGACCTGTTCTAATCACAGCTTGCAGCACTGAAAAGCATCACAGAATGGATTTATTATCTAACCCACACTGGGAAACTCCTTGTCCACAATTAAGAGTGGGAATAAACAAGAACTGGAAACCTGAGAGTTCAACAGGCTGTTACTAAAACTCAGTTTTTGTGGCTGTAAAAGCCCTCAAGGGTATTTGGCAGGTAAAAAGTAGGCACCTCCATGAAAAATCACATTCTTTAAAATACGAAATACAGTGAGATAGTGGAGCTGGATGATTTTCTAGCATCACATTAGAGGGTTTAGCACTACAATTATCCCTGGGTGAGATTTGGCAGATGAGAACCTGAGGGCACTTATTTTCATCCAACCTCCCCAGGTAACTCTGGTTGCACAGAAGCAATCTGGGTGCACTGGGATGCTGTCCCAACACTGTCCCTCAGATGAAGGAAAAGCTTTTCCTCACTGGAAGCCAATCCAGGCTCTCCTCCACTCCAGACAGAGTCCTGGCCCAGCAGGAACAGGTTCTCAGTCAGAAACAGCCACTCAGTGGTGACTTAGGACATCTTAGAACCCCCAAGATATTCTCAGGCTTTTCATTACTTCTCCAAAAAAACCACAGACAAATTATCCTCCAACCCTTCTGAACTGGGCATTACCCCAGTGAAACCCAGCACCAGAGAGGCAGAGAAATAATGGAAGCACCCTGGGATGTAGAAGGTCAGAATTTAAGTTATTCTTGTGTCCAGCGAGAGCAAACCCCTCAGCTCGGTGGCTCTCGGGCTCTCTGCAGCATTGATTCATTGGCAAAGCAGTTTGTGGGTGCATTGCTCACAACCTGAGCCTCACCTGCCCTTGAGAGCTCCAGAGCTCCTGGCTCAGCCTGGGCTCATTTCCTCACCACCCTTCTCCTTCCTGAACTGCACAGAGGGAATGAACCAGAGCCTTTGGCATCCTCAAGCCCCTTTTCCTCAGCCCTCACTCCAGCTGCCTCCTCAAGACCCAGAACAAAAGAACATCACAGCAATCCATTCTTTTTCAAAAGAGAACATGAGTTTATTAGAAGTCCCATCACTCAGAGGAGTTTTTGGAAGAACACAGTGAGCCTGGCAGGTGCCCACACCTCAGGAGGCCACTCTGGCTCCTGCTTCCCTAAAAATATTGGCCCAGGAACGTGCCTGGGTTCACAGCTGCAATGCTTTCAGTGGGTGTGTCCAAAGTGAGGTCATTTCAGGTTATTATTTCATCTCTCCAGCCACCTTAAGGACCCCCAACCAAAGGCCCTGAACAGAGCCAAATTCAGCAGTGGAGAAGCTGCATCCCCACTGCTCCCCTCCCTCACCTCTGCATTTGCTTCTCAGCTCTCAGTAAGGCTTTTAGAGGAGACTAAATCTGAACTGCAGCCTAGAACAGAGGGAAATTCACATTAAAACCCCAGGGAAAATGTCAGAACACGATTCTGAGAGGTAAAGAAAACAAGAGAACTGTTCCATGCTCGGAGGCCTGCTGGTGTGGAGCAGATGTCACACCAACATCTGCCTAAACATTACTGTCACCCCTGGAAATAGTCACAAATTTGACTTACTAGCCATGAATTTACCTTAAGTGGCTTGCAAATGAGCCAACCCCAGAAGAGAAAGAGCATTTGGGGAGCTTTTCACTATCCTCCCTCTCCCACAGAAAGCCTGTTTATTCTTTTAAGCAATCCCAGTCGAGGCCAACACCTGCTCATGAAGTTTATTGGCACAAGTCTAATTCCTGACTCTACTTTGCAAGGGCCTGAGTCAGTCCCAGAAAAATCACTCTGCTCTGAGATCAGCACCGAATGGAAGCATTAAAAAAAGAGTAAAGGAAATGTGTCATTAAAAACAAGGAGGTAAAACACTGCCTCACCTTGAGTGCCATCACTTCACACTCTCAGAGGACAACTCCACTACAGCCCTGCAAGCACTTCAGTCTTGTTCAGAGTCTTTCACTCGAGTATTTAGCCAAGCACATTGTCCAAATCCAGGATTATTAAAGAGGGTGAGGCTCAGGAAATCTTTGCCAGGTAACTCCCCTTACCCAGTCCCACTGGCAGGAAAACGGGATTTTTCATATTTGATTTTCTCTACACTGTCAAATGACTGTGCATTGGAAATGAGGACAGAACATGCAGACTGTGCAATTATCGCTTGCAGACTGATCATCTCTGGCATTGCCACCCTCCTTGGGGCTGAACCATTGCTGGGGAAGTCAGGGAATCAGTGTCAAGCTCCTCAGGTTTCCACTCAAATCCCTCTTCTCTCAGCTTTTCCATGCTCCTAGCGCCGATCCATCTCCTCCAGGGGCAGCAGAAAAATCAATTCCGTGTCATTTTAGGAATTCTTTTCACAGGAACAAGCTCCAGCAGCCAGGCCCCAAACCCAGGGCATTGTCCTCTACGACCCATTAACGAGCAGCCAAGAAGTTTCCCCAGGTTCACTCCTGCAAAGACTGCGAGTCCAGGGCAGGGCTTTTTTTCCACATTTTCCTCCTTACAAAGCGACAGATTTCAACCAAGAACCCCAAGGACACCACGTACATGGCCAGGCCCCCAGCCTTGAGGAGCCAGTTGGGTTTGGGGGATGTCACCATCCCGTACATGATCCACGCTCCTGCCCCGATCCGCAGCACCAGGAAGAGCAGCACGAAGAGGAAATCCACCACTTTTCCCAGGGAAGTGTGGTAAGAGCCCATTTCCCTCAGGAACCAGCGGGTCTGGAGCAGGGGGTTGGTGATTTCACTGACAAACACCACGGCGTTCACTTCCGTGGCCGATTTGCCCAGCCCCAGCACCAGGATCAAGCCACAGATGCTCAGGGTGTGGTGGAGCAGCATCAGGTCCCCCTCTGTCTGGAAGTACAGGCACCAGCCCAGGTCAAAGATGAAGTAGCCCAAGGTCAGGGACAGCACGTGGATCTGGAGAGGGGTGTTTGGTGAACCTGCAATGGAAGATGTGCATAAGCCTGGGGTCTTATTTAAGATATTTTTCTACTTTATAGACCAGCACAGGTCACTTCTCTCCTCCTACGTTTCTTTATCCAAGTGCCATGAATTAGGGAGATTTGGTTCTGCTTCCCCTTCACACTCCAGCCTGCCCAGCAGACCCATCCCATTCTGCTTCCCTTCTTCCAAGCCTTTTAGAAAAGCCAGACCTCCATCAGCAGCACAGTCTGATATTTAATAAAAGAAACCAGCCAGCAAAACCCTGCAGCCAAATGTCAGGAGTTATTACACCCTTCAAGATGTGAAAGCACTTTGCTCTCCATGTTGCTATACCTGATGCTGCAATAAACTCAAGCTGCCAACCTGAAAACTTCCAATTTGTACACGGACAAGCAAGAAAAAAAAAAATTAAAAGAACAAAAGGACGAACAGTGAGAAGTAGTGGGAAAAGAAGCAGCAGAATTAAACGAAATTTAACCCCAAACACATTGAGGAGAGGAAATCAGCCCCTACCTCCACCTGTGACAGGTGAGCACAGGTGAGGGTGAGATTCCAAACATACCTGCGTGGGTCAGGGGCCAGGGGCCATCCAGGAACATGACATAGCCAGACAGGCAGGTGACAAGGAGCCCGTGCAGGAGGGTGACCAGGCGACAGCTCCACTTGTAGGAGCGCTGCCTGTTCCAGCGGCAGAAGCAGCTGTAGAGACACAGCCAGGTGACAAAGCTGCAGGTCACCTCCAGGACGATGGGAACCATCCTGCTGGACACGGAGGGACAGCGTGAGGAGGGCAGCAGCCCCTCAGAAATCCGCGTTCATCCCGACCAGCCTCCGTATCCACCCCAGCGCATCCATGAAAATCCGGGATAGGGTGGGAAAAAAAACCCCACGAACAACCGAAACGACCAAAAGGAACCTTGTACCCCTCCCGAAACGGGCAAAACAGACCTTGTACCCCTCCCGAAAGGAGAAAAACAAACCTTGTACCCCTCCCGAAAAGAGCAAAAGAAACCTTGTATCCCACCCGTGAGCACCGCGCTCTCCCGAGCCCCCTTAGCACCTTTTCCAAAATCCCAAACCCGAACGGGAAAACCACAATCCCAACCCTCCCGCTGCCAAAGCGCCTCTGCCCCTCGGGGACCAGGACGCTGGGGGGGTCCAGCCCCCATCCCCAGCTCGGCACTGGGGTGGGGTGGGGGTCCCCGACAAGCCGAGAGCCCCAAATCCTCACCCCGCTCCGGCTCCGCGCTCCCGGCACCTGCGCCCGGCTGGGGCTGCCCGGCCGGGGAGGCGGTGCCGGCGCTCCCGGAGCCTTTTATCGTCCCTTCCTTGCCCTGCCCAGCCCGGCCCAGCCCAGCCCTGCCCAGCCCAGCCCAGCCCGGCCCAGCCCCCGCAGCATCCCCCGAGGATGCTCCGCTGCATCCCCGCTCGCTCAGCCCCGCTTTGCCTGCCCCGGGGGCGGACAGGGATACGCGGAGCGGAGCTGCGAGCCCCGGGGCAGGGCCGGAGCCGGGGCAGGGCGGGCAGGGAAGGGGGAACGGGGCGGGGGAAGCGGGAACAGGCTCTCAGTGCCTCCGCCCAGCCTCGGCTCGCCCGGCTGGAGCCGTCCCGGAGCGCGCCCAGACTTTATTTGGTGATGAAGAATAAAGGTGGATCAGAGGGGAGGTGCTGATGTCCTTTTTTTCTTGTATTCATTTCTTCCTTTATTTTTTTTTCTATTGTTTTGCAGAGTTTCCTGGAGTCTTCTTTCAATCTTTCTGCCAAAAGAGAGGAGGCTGAGACAGGAGTCAGAGCCCGGGACAGGCTGGGTCCGGGGCTGGGAGTGGTGCCGGCCACTCGGTGTTCAGGGAGATGTGACACAGAACGTGCAGAACAGGACGAGTGAGCCAGGAGCTGAGCTGGGGCCAAGTTCAGGGTTAGGAGTGAGTAACCAGGACAGGGCTGTGCTTCCTCCAAGCTCTGCCAGCCAGCTCGGTGTCAGCACTGTGTCATTCCTGACTCAGGTTACTTCAAAATCTGATATCGTGGCCCCCAAAAAACCCAAATTTTCCCTGCAGCCAGAGCTCTACGCTGGGAGTGAAACCACAGAGAGCACAGGAGCCTTTCCCAGTGAGATCTGCCGTGTGTGCTGCACTGCACAGGATGCTCCTATGAGTTATGCATTTAAATATATTTTTAACTGGATTGTACATTATAGGTTGCTCTTCTGTTTGAGCTCAAACTTGCTGATTTTTGTCTCCTTTCCTAGCATTTTGAAGCAGGCAAGGACCCTCAGCACAGAGAATGGGGGTCCCACTGCAGTTTGAGTATTAATCCCTGCTGGCATCTGTAAAGCTGAGCTTGAATTTAAGCTAAAATGTTTCATTTGGCTGTTAGGATCCAAGCTAATTCTACCAGAGCTGGAAATCCCAAGGCTGTGAGCATCAGGAACGATGAGGGAACTTAGTGGCATCACTTGGGCACTGAGAAATGCTCAAAATGTTCCTTCAGGCCACAGGGAAACCTGAGAAGAACAAGAATTATTCTCCCAGCTTGCACTCCCTCTCCTCACAGGTGGAAATCAGAGGAGGAAAGAAACGAACCAACAAGAAAAGAAATTAAACATAAACAGCAATTTGTAAATTTTCCAGCCCTCCCCAGCCTTGCTTGAACTTGGGCACTGCTAAATGTCAATTTTTGAGGTAGCCCAGCTCCTGGTGTGCAGCTGGAATTGCCACAGCAGCTCTGCTTGGAGAAGGGCAGGGACAGAGAGCACAGGGATGGCTCAGGCACAGGAGCTGCTCTGGAGTCACTGAGCTCTCACAGGGAGCAATTGCTCCCTGCATTGTTCCTCTGGGGCTGTGGGAGGGGACTCTTGCTCCTGGAAAGCTGGAATTTCCTGCTCTGTTTATTTTAAATTTCTTAGATGCTTTCCTGCGAGGTTGGAAGCGTTCCTGGGTGGCAGAGGAATGAAGTTCTTTCCCTTCCAGCTGGAGCTTTTTGTGGAGCAAACAAACTGCTGGTGCTTGTTTTCCCCACTCAGGGCCAGTTTATCAATAAATCCCAGGAATTTGTCTCAGTGTTTATAAACTTTGTGCAGCAGATGAACCCTCGGGATGTATTTGCACAACACCTGGCACAGCTTGGCCTTGATCTCAGCAGAAATATTCACGTGCAGGTGCTGTTATTCAGCTTTTAATACATTGGTGATTTCCCTCCCAGTTTTCAGAAACATTATTCCAAAATTCATGCAGGTGGGAGCAAATTACTTGGAGGAATTCCTCAGAACCAAATGGAATAATTTGGAACAGAAGCCAAATTTGGATCCTAATGTATCTTCTCAAGGCTCTAAGAGCATATAGATGTACAGTAAATTGTGAATAGATTATTAGAAATAGCTGATTTATTTTTGGTCCCTTTCGACCAAGAGGCTCCCAAACCTCTGCAAGTCTGGACCAAGCCCCCTGACTCTGAAGGCAAAATACAAATTACAGCTCAGCTCGCAGGAGTTAATTCAGGAATTCCTGGGCAAAACGTGCAGGTCCAGGTCATGAAGACAATCAGCACTCACTGTTGAAATAACTGCTGATAATCTATGAAATAATCTGAGATTTTCACAGTAGAAATGAACTGGAAACTCTGGCTCTATAACTGTCCTTGGTGATGGGTGGCAGGAGAATCAGCAGGGATGTTCATCATTCCCTAAACTCTGGTGTCTGGCACAAAATGAACATTGGGAGAAGGAAATAGGATTTTTCATCACCATTGCCTATCAGGGATCAAGTCCTGTCTCCAGGGTCATGCAGAAAATAAAATAAGACAGACTAGCCCAAAGGTTCAGCTCTGTGTTTAAATTTGTCCTTATCTACTAATCTTTAAATATCCACATCAGCTAAAATTAATTAAAAATAAGAGTGGAATTGTAACCACAATTTTTCTGGTGACTGGCTGGGACAATTGACTTTTCCTTCACTCGCACACAGCAGCCTCAAGCAATACTACATGAACAGAAAAACAGAGAACAGAAAATAAATTCCTTACACCTCCAAGACCAGAAGGCAGCTCAATAATAGCTTGTTGTTATTTGGTATCAGAGAAAACCCCAAAAAAAGAGGAAAAGAATTAAAGAGAGAAGGTCAAGACTCATCTCAGTAGATAACAGAAATCACAGTTTCCCCCAAGGTTTTCAGCAATAACAAGACGTGGACACAAGTTTTGCAAAAGACAAATTTTTTTTTTTGGTTGTTTGTTTGGTTGTTTTTTGTTTTTTTTTTTAAAGGAAAAAATAAGAAGACTCTAAAATACTTAATTAAAAAAAAAAGGCAGGGAAAAAAAAAAAACAAAAACAAAAAAGCACCTTTAGAAAGGGAGCAGGAGGCGCAAAGCAAACGGAGGGGGAGCCTGGGGAAAGCCAAGGCTCCCACCCAGCCACGGGGCTGCGGTGAAATGAACTCAAACCTCGGCTCAGATTGGGGGCTGTGCGTGACAGGGACAGCAGGAGGGACCCTCCTTCCTTTTGGGGAGCTGTGGGACAGGCTGGGGACAGGGAGGGACAGAGGAGAGTCCCGACACAGGAGCCCTGCCCGGGAGGATGCGCGGCGCAAAGCGGAGGAGCCATGCGAGGACAGCGAAGCCCTGGAGGGACAGTGGCACCGTAAGGGGGGCTTGGGGAAGGGGACAATGTCACTGTGGGGCTGGGGGGGAGAGGGAAAATGTCACAGTGGGGGCTGGGCTGCAGTTTGAGTCCCTGCACAGCCCCGCTGCTGGGGGGTCCTGGCGCAGCCGGCGGCGGTGGAAGGCACTGGGTGGCCCCGAGCATCGTGGCTGGTGCACGGCCTGGAGCTGCTCTCCCCTCGCTGCAGGAGCTCTCAGTGGAGGTAGGTGGGTTGGTTCCATCGGTACCAGGAGCTGGTGGTGATAGGGAACAACAAAAAGTTTCACCTCGGAGTAAAAAAAAAAAAAAAAAAAACCATCCTAATTTCCTGCTGGAGCTGAGCCCAGCTCGGCACATCCTGCAGGTTGCTCAGCAGGCACAGAGGTTGGCACTGGGAGGGGATAAATCACATCCTGCCACTGCTCCCACAGCCCCTGTGCTGGCTGCCAGGGACACACCACCCACATCTGGCCTCTCGTGGCCCATTCATCTCCCTCCTTTCCATTCCTATTCCAGTGTAAAAGCACCATTCCCATATCCAACACCACGGGGAAAAAAATCAGAATTAGTGTTGCATCACAGCAACTCCCCTTGTTTCTAAACAAGATCTTCAGGTGCTACCTGGGCTTTGATTTTTTAAATCCAAAAAATTTTGTTGCAAAAAAGTCACATTTCATTTTAATGTTTCCACTAAAACAAAGATGATAAAAGTATTTCAGTTAGAGGTAAATGATCAGCAGGGGAATCCAGAAAGCAGAAATAATTTCTCCCTTGTTTTCGTGTGTCATAGCATTTTGAAAAAACACCATATTTTACTATTAGAAAAAAGAAATGTTCCCTGATCTTTTGCAGTTCCTGCTTCTATAACAAAGCCTCATCCAAGCAACAAATTCTGTGTTGCAGGGACTAAATAGGAGGAGGATTCATGGCACAGGGTGACCCAGGCAGGTGGGGTAACCCCCTCCTAACTCAGCATCCTCGAGGTGATGCAGCAGAAATGACAAGTGCAGAACCCCCAGGGAAATAACCAGCAGGGCTCAGAGCCCTCTCGTCTGGTTTAATGCTTCTGCAGCCTCTAAAGGTAGGGCAGAGGTAAAAATAATCTTTGTTTTATCACTGTGGAAG